TCTCTTTCTCTCTTTTCTCCTTCTCTCTTCCTCTCGCTCCCTCCCGCGGGCACGCGCGCGCGCGCGTCACAGTGTATATGTGTGTTCCCTGTTCTCCCTTTGTGTGTGTCTCCCCCCCTTCGCCCCGCGACGACAACGAGTTCCGCCCAGTGAGAAAAGAGTCGAGCCCAGCTTTCCTGCAAACAAGACGCGTCCTCGACACGGCAGTTGTTTGTTTTCTGGTTTCGCGGTGTCGCGGTTGACACAAACAGCGAGCCCGAGGAACGAGGAAAGGTCCCGTCCGTGCTGCCGCGTCGCGAAGAGAGGAGGAGAGGCAACGAGGAGAGCCCGCGTGTTACCGTTGTGCGGCGGGTTCGTCGTGTTTCGTCACCGGCGACGGACGTCGCAGACGTTCTTCGTCGTTGTCGTCGTTGTTGTCGTTGTTGCTGGTCAGAAGATTTTCCAGTCGACCGAACGGGAGAAGTAGGTTAGGCGCACCGGCGGCTTTCGCGTCCGCAGTAACGCGTATATTCCACGACACCCAGTCTTTTACCGGGCCCCGGTCCGCGAGTGTATACCAATCCCGATTTCTGGTGACGTTCAACCAACGCGCACTTCTTTTACGTAACGAAAGCGCGTTAGAACGCGCGCGTGCGCTGTACATACGGTACTCGTCTCTCGGTTTCCGTCCTTCTCGTTTCTGCCGTCGCGAGCGAGAATCTTCGATCATCGGTTAGTACATCGCGTCCTCGTGAACGTACGCGTTCCATCGCATCGCTCGCTCAGTTTTCGTCTCCGTTGGCCACGCAGCGTGTCCCCACGCAGAGATCCCGGTGACGCATCCGGTTTCCCGTTGGTCACGGGTCGTTTCGCGAGGCAACCGTGCCGATCTGGCTCCGCGTGTTTCGATTTTCCCGCTGTCCCCCCGGCTGGTCTCCATCGTCCGATAATCGATACCGTTCGATTTCTTTCGATTCTCGAACCGTACGTATAGCGACGGAACGAGGCGCGCGTCGGCTGTCCCGCGGACGCGCCAGTTTCTCCCGAGTATTTGTCGAGTGCGGTTGCGAGTAACGTTCGTGCTTTTCAGTAAAGGAGTATTCCTCGCCCCGGATACAATAGCCCAGACGGTTTATGTACACACGCGCAGAGACGTTGGAAACCCGGTGCTATTCAATCAACGACTCGTCCGCTGCATCGAGTACTCTTCATTGATGCAGCCTTGTATTGTTTGTGGTGCTTCTCTTTCCTCGTGAAAGGTGTGCTTCGTTTAAACCTGCAAGGTGGTGCGACTGTTTCTCTCTTGTGTGCGTGATCTGAATCAGTGATTCGAGGGAAATGGCCGATATTGGTCGGCGATAAAGAAAAAGTAGAAAGAAAAAAGTATGTATATGTATATATGTGTATGTATATACATATATATATCTATGTAAAAGAAAGAAAGAAAAGAAAGTGAGAGTTTTATAACAAGTGCAGTACTACGTTTATCGTTCACTGTGGATTATTGGATATACTATACCGCTCTCGTCCCAGCGACCTGCCGACGGAGCGCAACATCGCCGCCGCCACGATTTATGTAAGTAAGGGAATACTATCTTAAACGTTCCTTTCGCGATTGCGATCGATACGAGTACACGGTCTGTCGACGACGCGAGTGATATCCGGTCTACGGTCGCGCGGATATCGTTCCTGTGCTTTTCCCGGAAACTCTCGATCGTATTTATATTTTCTCCGATCGACTTCTTTTTTTACGACGCATTTCAATTTTGTTTCTTTATTGTTTTTCGTGTTTGCGAATCCATCCTCGCGATTCGTCGCCAAGTGATGAGGATAACGAGCGTGAAAAGAACCTTCGAGCAATTGCGTCATCGACAAAGTCGTACGTTGCGAACAAGTTCGTATTTCGAGCGCAATATTCGTTACCAAGCTCAGAACGTCGTCGCTTCGGGTCCCGTCATCGAAACGATTCTCGATATGATCGTTTTTGTTACATTGTTGTCGGATTCATATCTTCAAGTTCTAGAGAAACGTATTTCCACGTTTGTAACCTTACGTGGGGATGTCCATAAACAGCAGTCTGACTGTGTATACACGTATTTTAATTTTTAACACGTCAAGTGCCGTGGGGGTCACAGGTAACCTCAAACCGAATCGAATTACTATAATTCACACAATTAAACGATGATTATTTAAAAACTGTTCCATATTAAAAACAATGCAACCCAAGGCGATGACGTTTAGCAAAGTATCCGCGCAACAATGATAACGCAATTCAATCAAGTACTTTGATAATATATTTTTTTTCTAATTCGTGTATTTTGCTCCGTAAAATCGTTCGGCATTCAACGTGTTAATGTGTAAACGGTCGAAGTATGATGTTTTCGAATAAATGATTTCAATCGCAGTTATTCGATTGGCTAACATGTTCAGCGACAGGCGCCGCGTAGGTTACGTATTTCATATGACAACTAGATGGAGAAATCTGAAACGGAAATCGCTGGAAATTCATTTCCAATTCTCGATTCGTTCATTCCGTAATGCAGATTAATTAATAAACAAACACCTGGTAACAAGTAATTTCTTTTCCTCTGAAAAAGCGGTCGCACTTTCCGGGTAACCTAATATCTTGAAACTGGGCAACATTTGAAAATCGTTTTTAACCGTTCACGGGATATCGATACCCTGGGAATAATGATTAGGTTAGGGGCCAGTTTCGAGTAGCAGGGAAATTGAATTGGCTTCGGTACTGTTCTTGGCAACAATCATGACAGTCGAATATAATCCGCGACCTCTATAAACTCCGTACCGGCAATTGTTCTCTCAGCTGTACCGTATTTGTAAACAAATTTTTTTACAAATGTCAGCCGAAATATTTTTTTTCACGGTGCGCCGGTTCCATTCTCTCGCTTTTTTTTCACTGATCCGGGTGAAGTTAGCCCCGCCGATATTTTATTGAAACGTATATCAGGTTGGCGCATTCGAAACGTCACTTTATATGACAGTTCGTGAAAGCTCGCGACTGGTTTATGAAGTTATTTATAGAACTTGAAGTTAATAACGGTTCTCGGAACATTTAAAAAAAAAGGATAATAATTCTTTGAAGAATGGAAATGTCTGTGCAACATTTTCGCGGGACCCGAGCGACGCGCGGAGCAATGTTATAATCGATGAAATATATTCGTCGTCAGCCTCGACGTATGACAGCTTGCGTTATCGCGCATCGGGATCATGCTTTAAATTCATTCATTTTAAACTACGCGCGCTGGGAATCACCCGTTTCTCTTCAGCACGGTATCGAACAATGTATCAATGAGTGTTGCGCAATCTTATAAGCAGATAAACACGTGGTATACAATGGAACAGGTACAATAAAACCAGCGAAATATGAAAATCCGCACGAATGAAGTTTATCAAACTGATTATTTATTTCACGAAAATTTTAATGGAAATCGAAGTTGGACACAATTTATTAGACTATTCAATGACAAATACACACCGAGTATTATCAGTACTTAAATATTCAATTTCAGTGATTAAACAATTATTTAGTTACTTTTTAATTGAAAAACAAATTATTCCTTCCTCTTCATCTGTAATTTCTTTCAAAAGTATAAGCATTCCTGTAACGATGGGGTTTTCTGTTTATGACTTCGTAAAATGCTAAAAATTAATGGAAATGTTTTACGCGCGGAAACTTAACCCCTAGCCGTGTAATGACAAGTGAGATTCGTGATGAAGATTTTGAGTTCGATTCAGTGAAAGTCATTATTCGTCGTATATAAATCGAAGCAAAAAACAGTTTCGTTATCTTAAATATTGTACTTTCGAAGAAAGTGTATAATTATAAAAAACAGAGAATTCCTGTGTATCTTATCAAACTATTGAAAGTGAAATAGATTTGGCGAGCGCAGCGTGAATAAAATGGTACGGCAAAGGGTTAATAGCGAACTAACTGGTTCACGAGAAAGTGGCCGGCGTCTTCTTTCTCGCGGCCAGAGGTAGAAATTGTTCGCGGAGTTTCTAATCGGTTATGCCTGACACTGAAGGAGTGGTTTTAATCATCCGGCGTGTAACACGAGTTCGAGGAACGCCGATGCCTCTTCGACGATCTATTTAAGATTCTTCGCGCGGAAACGTTATCTTATCGGAGAAAAGCATATTCCCGGGGAGTGAGCTTCGCTCTCGAAAAGTCGTCGCCGCGTCGTCTCGGTCTCTCTTTTATTCCGTTCATTGTTTACGTTCCGCGCCCATCCATTGCCAGAGAATTATTACGAGCAAGAGCAATGTCATCGATGTCGAAATCGCGCGACGCATGTGTTGGCCAATTAAATCCCTCTGGTTGCAGAGCCATCGAGATATCACTGTGAAACGAGAGTTTGACATTGAGTAAAAAATCGGGTATATGAAACACTTGAACTCGGTGGAATCGACTTAATTTTTTATCGCGTAACGGAATCGTTGTGAGATTCACTAACTAATTATGATGCTACGATATCCAGCAATTCCGTTCTAAATTCTTTGAATATTTCATGCTGATTTAAATAACATTTATAGCTCCGTTTGAAACGACAGTGGAAAATCATGTGAGTTTTGCAGACGGAATTGATTTATCGTAAACATTTATTGTTCCCATTAGTGCTGTCCGAATGACGCATTATTTTACCACCAATCATCGGTTGTGCGCAATAAATTTTACATTTCAGTTGCTAAGAACTTTCAGTGTCAACACGGTACAGAGTGTTGATTGATTATAAATTATTTAATCGTGTGCTTCGATCGGGGAACGTTTTGTTCGGAATCGTAACAATTCTCTTTTCGCTTTTTCGTCGATTCGATTGAAGTATACATAGTTCTCGCGTGATTTCCGATGTGTAAGCATGAACGATCTTGTATGTCTCCAGGGTAAGGTAACGCGAAAACATTCGAACGCGTTAAGTAACGCGCATCGAACCACGTGCACCGGTTAAATTAATTTTCGTTAGTCGGTCTGCATGCGCGGGAAACCTTGTTTGAATAATAAATGATCGAGTGACTCGTGATATTCTTCAGCGGCGGGGTGATTGTCGTGAAATAAAGTGGAGGAAACGCATGAAAAATACAAGGTAGCGTCGATGAATGGGGTCGTACTCTCTCCTGCGTGGGTGTTTGAAAAGCGTGCATGGAAATGAGATTAAATTGAAAGGTACCCGCGATACGAGACGAAATTCCAGAAAGTGTAATTAAATATGAAAAGAACTTTTAATACGTAACTGCTTCGTCTACGGTGAGGGGAAGAGAGGGGGGAGGTAGGAGAGAATCCCGCGAAACCGGCGTAGCCAACCACCCCAATCCACTTCCCCTGTTAAACTCCTTTTCTCTCGACAACGTTTTCGTGTAATCGGACTAAATTTTAACGACGCGTTCGAACAGCTGCAATTACGCGTCGCCAGGCCTCCTTTTTGATTGTATTTTAATGATGCTCGCGCGCTCTTTATTCGACATCTATTGACTGTCGGTTTATTGAACCGGTACCTTTAAAAAGTACTCGAGCTGCAGCCGAGAAGATGTTTTACCTTAGTTCCACGATCGTTTGTGAACCGTTCATGCTCACGCAGAATCGTACCTTTTTATAAACAATTCGAAACAATAAATTCATTTATTCCTTCAAGCTTTTCAGCGGTTTAAGGTCAATCGATGAATTCATTGAATACATTCATTAAATTTATTTAATCACGTTCCATTCCGCAGAGTTTCTCTACACTTTTATACTCAATTATACACTTTTATCCGTACAAGTTACATTTCGCTCGCATTCGTTGTGAGATTAAAATCCGCTCGGTCATTTTTATTTGTCCTCAATCTTCGCGTACAGTTAAATTAATCGTTGTATAGATATTCATTGAAGACGCGATCGGTGGAAATGAAAATCGAATTACAAAAATGCCTTGTTCCGTGTTCAGTTAGCAACGCGGGCAAAATGTTCGCGTCGAATTTTTATTTGTTCGTCGTTTAACCCTTTGAGTGCTGAATACTCCCCGCGGAAATGTTCCGTGTGGGCGGAATATTTTTCTGCTCATCTGATGATCAACGAATTATGTTAACTCGTACAATTAATTAAGTTGCAATTAAATTGTAATTGTAATTTCTCAGTTTCATCAGATTGAATAATGCTAAGAAACACGTATATTAATCACATACACTTATAATTATCACCACGCCAGGTATGAGATTAAAAAGATCGAGAAACGCATACATGTGCCCACAGTTCTCAGCGATGGCATTCGCTAGACGCGTATATGCGCCCACAGCATTCAAAGAGTTAACGTTGGTGATAACAGGAAATGAATGCTTCGCTTCGAACCGGACGGAGTTCGAACAATAACGCCAAGGTTAATTGTTTTCATGTAAACATCAATGTTCAAAAAGTTGGCCGATCAACGAATTAAAGGATCCACCGGCCTAGGTACCGATTGAATTTCAAGCACTTTTTACTCGGAGCTCATTTACCAATTTGCGTTTGAAATCTTTCCCGGTGGAATCGCCGATTTATTTTCTCGCGAGTTTGGTAACTGACTGAAAACCCAGCCCGGGTTTCTTTATG